AAAAAATTTAATAGCCAAGATCAACTACAAAATTCATGACAAAGAACTTTCTTCTAGAAAGAAAAGACTGATCATGTGTTCTTCAAGAAAGTCAAGATTTTTTAATGGCCAAACATTTTAGATACAATAAGACTTTAGAACTTATATCCAAAGATTTTTGGTGGCTATAAATATAGAAGGTAGCCAAAGACTTTGTCCAATCATGTGATGTTTGTTCAAGGTCAAAAACTCCTCATCATTGATCCTACAGACTTTTCTAACCATTATTCATTCTAAAACAATTATAGCCTTCTATTTCTATAGATTTTATTATAAATCTTTTAGTCTTAGATTCTTATGACTCTATATTTGTGATAGTAGATTATTTCACCAAGATGGTACATTTTATACAATATACTAAAGCTTTCACATGTGAAGAAATAGCCGAGCATTTCTTTGAAAATATCTATTCCTATCATGGATTACCTAAAGATATTATATTGGATAAAAAAACTCAGTTTGTATGAAGATTTTGGAGAATACTTTTCAAGATTCTAAAAGTGGATATAAAACCATCTTCAATTTTTTAATCTCTAGTTTTTGTGTCTTTTGGCAATAGCCATTCTAGTTTATTTTTTGATATACATACTTTTCTATTTTTATTTTATTATATTTCTTTGAGAGAGTCTTACTTGTTTATTTGCTTTTATCAAGTTTTTTTTCCTTGACAAAGGGAGATGCATAAGACATAAGCACCATTCATTCATTTGTAGTACTTGTGATCACAACTACTTGAGCTCACCACCAAGTATAACCACAAGAGGATGATGCATGCATTTGAAGAGCACATAATAGTAAAGAGTGAAGTTAGAAGTCATGCACAAGACAAGAGCATCATTCATTTATTAGAAGTATTTATAATCACAACAACTTGTGATCACCACCAAGTGTCACCATGAGAAGAAGATACTTGCATTTAGAGAGTATGGAATAGTATTAAGTAAAATTAAGAATTATACACAAGACACAAGTACCATTCATCTACTGGTTCCATTTGTGATCACAACCACTTATGGTTATCACCAAGTTCAACCACAAGAAGATGATGCTTGCATTTGAAGAATATGAGATAGCAATAAGTGAAGTTATGAGTCATGTACAAGACACGAGTACCATTCATTCATTTGTGGCACTTGTAATCACAATTACTTGTCATTACCACCAATTTCAATCATAAGAGCTAGATGTATGCATTTAGAGAGCATGGAATAGTAAAGAGTGAAGTTTGGAGTCATGTATGAGATAAGAACACCATTCATTCATTTTTGGCACTTAAATTACAACCACTTATGATCACCACGAAGTTCAACCATGAGAAAAGGATGCATGCATTTGGAGAGCATGAAATAGTAGCAAGTGAAGATAAGAGCAATGTATAAGTCACGAGCAACATTTATTCTTTTATGGCACTTATAATCACAACCACTTGTAATCATCACCAAGTGCAACCACAAGATCATGATGCATGCATTTATAGTCTAAGGGATAGCATCGACTGACGATACAAGGCATATATAAGACACAAGTAACATTCATCCATTTGTAGCACTTATGATTATCACCAAGTGCAACCATGAGAGGTAGATGCATGCATTTTTAGAGCAAAGAATAGTATTGACTAAAGATACGAAGCATATATAAGACACGAGCATCATTCATCCATTTGTAATACTTATGATTACAACCACTTATGATCACCACCAAGTGCAATTACAAGAGGCAGATGCCTGCATTTATAAAGCATTGGATAGAACCAAGTAAAGATAAAAGTCATGCATAAGATACAAATACCATTCATTCATTTGTACCACTTGTGATTACAACCACTTATGATCTCTATTAAGTACAACCTCAAGACCAAGATGCATACATTTAGAGAACAAGAGATCGCACCAAGTAAAGATACGAGGCATGTATAAGATATGAGGAACATTCATCCATTTTTGGCACTTGTAATCATAAATACTTGTGATCACCACCAAGTGGAACCATATAAGGTAGGTGTATGCATTTGAAAAGCATTTGATAGCATCAAGTGAAGATAGGAGTCATGAATAAGTCACAAGTACCATTCATTTATTTCAAGTAAAGATACAAGACATACATATGACACCAATGTTATTCATCCATTTCTAGTACTTGTGTTCACAACCACTTGTAATCACCACCAAGTGCAGCCATGACAGGATGAAGCATGTATTTGAAGAGCTTGAGATAGCACCAAATGAAGATACAAGGCATGCACAAGACACAAACACCATTCATCCATTTGTAGTACTCATGATCACAATCACTTATGATCACCACCAAGTACCACCACAAGAAGATGATGCATGCATTCAAAGAGCATGGGATAGCACTGAGTAATAATAAGAGTCATGCATAAGATACAAGCACTATTCATTCATTTGTAGCACTTGTGATCACAACTACTTGTAATTACCACCAAATGCAACTACAAGAGCCATTAGAATTGTCATAAAAAATCAATTGTATATGAGTCAAAACTTGCTCAAATTGGATCAAATTTGCATACCATGTTTAGGATTTAAGGTTTAGGATTTAAGATTACAAGAATGTTTCTAGTTTTTGGGCATCAATATTTTTGAATTTTGACTTGAAATGTTGTAGATTTGTTTCAAGAAAGCCAAATCTTTGATTGTTAATTTTCTATGCAAACTTCATCCAATTTGATTAAATTTTGGGTCAAATGAAACAAAAAAAATTTAAGGCAATTCCATTGGTATATAGCATGTTTGTAGGTATTTTGTAAATCTCTAGCTATGAATAAAAATGTATCACAAATTAGTTTCAAGAAAGTGAAATCTTTGATTATTAATTTTGTATACAAACTTAATCCAATTTTAGCAGCGTTTAATTCTAATATGACTAATTTTTTAAGGCAATTATATTGTTATAAAGTATATTTGTGGATTTTTTATAAATATCTAATTATGACCAAAAATAAATTGCAGGTTTGTTTTAAAAAAATCAAATCTTTGATTGTTGATTTTGTATCTAAATTAGATACAATTTTAACAAGTTTTGAATCTAATGTGATTGATTTTTTAAGTTTATTCTAATGGTATATAGCACGTTTGTGGATTTCTTATAAAGCTCTAGATATGAACAAAAATGTATCAAAGATTTTTATTAAGAAACCAAATCTTATATTATTGATTTTGAATGCAATTTTTGTTATATTGTTTCAATTTTTGAATCTATTGTGATTAATTTTTCAAGGCAATTATAATGGTATATATCAAGTTTATGTTAAATTATATTTTTTTTTATTATAACCTCTAAATCCAAAATCCTAAGATTTCAAAGTCAACATGAAAGTAAAAAGTCAAAACCTTTATATTTTTCAAATGGAAGTAGCATAAGTAAATGTTTTTACACCATTGAAATTATAACCTTTGAAAATAGAAGATAGTTTAATTCAAAATCCCAAAAAAAGTATGTCAATTTTTTGGAAACACACATATAATCCTAAACTTTAAAAGACAATAAAAATTACTTCTAACATCTAAGGAATTCTTAGATCAAATTACATAATTTCAATATAATAAGTGAAATGAAATATAGTTTGCAAGTAGAATTATTATATGATGTTATTTTAAATTACATAGCAATATATACCATGTTTTTGCTTAATATAAAAGTAATTGTTTTGAACTTCTTTTTTCTATTGTAATAGCTTTTGTTTATTTGTCAAGCTATTTTTAAATTATTTTACATAATACAAGTTTTATTTTATTTTAGAACTATTTAAATACTATTTTTATCAAAATATATTAAATAAAAACAATTAAGTCAAGTTTTTTACTAAGAAACCAAATAAGTAAAAATGCAACAACAAAAAAAGACATTTAAAACTTTTGAAAAAACATCCAAATGTAGAAAATAAAAATAAAAAAATTTGTAGAAGTAGGACTAATCCAATATAGCTTTTTTTATTAGAAAGAGAGTGACATATATTATTAGGTTCTATATAACAACTTCCAGATTTTATTCAGGATACAAACCATGCAATAGAATACAAAATTTGGACAAATAATTAAACCTCCTACCTATTATCTACCAACTACTACTAGACCTTACTGCAACAAGATAGAAAATGAACCATTTTTCTAATAAAATTATGTGTTCTGTCTTTCAATTATATCTTAAGTAGGCCCTCCACATAGTGGAAGTGGTCATTCATATCCAGAAGGTTCCAAGTTGGAATCCAAGAGGTGGGACTAACTTTGGATCAATCCTTCCTTATATTTGTCAATCCAAGCTAAAATATTTTAAAACATTAAATTGTTCTTTGGACTTCTCTCACCCTTAGGCTACCTTCTCTAAAGATTCTCTCACCTTTAGGCTACCTTCCCTAAGGCTTCTCTCATCATCTTTGGTTTATAAGTTACCACCTTGAGAGAGCACATTAAAAAAATTCAATCTCTCCATTGCCCAATCTTAGGACAGATTCTTGGTACCCATAATTTGCCAACAGCCATGAGGTAGTGATTCTACTAATAACTATTCTCGGTCAACCTTCACCATTAACTAGGCCACAAATCAGAAGATCATGACTGATACCTGGTGCACGTGATTTAAAAATCACTGGACTGGATTAAGGTAATCCGCCAATAATACATTTGGAAGGACGGTTGGCTTTTACCCTGAACATCTGAAATCTGCCTTGATTACCTTCCAAGTTCAAAATTTTACTTGAGAATACGGGATTGGGTTTGGACCATAAAAGCTATGGCTCCTGAAGTAAATAGCCTTCTGTAAACAGAGGGTGCACAACTAGAGTGGAACTGGTTAGAGAAAGCCGCAACATTGTGAGAGGTTCTACCCTTCCTTCCTCTAGACTTGGGTAGTTCAAAATTCACTGCAAGGTAATACACCATATTATGAATTTATAAAACTAGGGACAGTAACTGGAAAATACTTCAAAATACCTGTTGTATTTTTCAATGCATGGTCGAGAGAATTTTTATTTTCTAGTATTGAGGAAGGGTATGTCCAAAAGATCAGAGTAGATGTCTTTATACAAAAAAATTAAAAAATACGCTTACTCCTTGACATCTAGGGTTAATGAAAAATACTTCAAAATACCTGTCACAAATCAGAAAACTACCTAGGCTAGGTCTACAATCTACACAGGTTTAGGGTAAATCCCCATGTGGAAATGTGCTTACAAAGCTATTCTAAAGTTACCAACATCAAGGCAGGTCATCTGATTAAATAAATACCATTTCAGGAAATCAAATCAATTGATGACCAACAAATTAGAGAAAAATACTACTTACAACTTACAAAGTAACGAGTCTAAAATTACAGAAATAGCTGACAAAATTAATAAGTGCATAAAATCCAGATCTAACAGTAGTGCCTCATCGAGGATATCAACTTTGTGACGATGCCGAATACTCAATCAGCAACCGATTGTCAACAGACGGTATAGAGGAGAAAAGTACACGCAACTTGCTGTTGAGCTGGTAAAGCAAAGTCCACTGTGTAGCCATTTCTGATTCCTTGAGCTGGCGCACAACGGATGCCTGCAAACATACTAATTTGTTAACTGGTATTTATAACAGACAAACCCCGAAGTTTAGACAAAATCAGTCAGAAACAGCAATCACTTTTTCCAGACATGATTGTATAATTGCATTCAGATATAGAAATAGCTACTGCAATGTGTAAAAAAAGCTGATGTCCTTGAAAATTCAACGAACATGACGACACTGACCAATTGGTTAACCCCCGGACATAACCAGTTCAGCAATGTCAACCAAAACAATGCAAGGTGGACTAGCTTTCTAACTAAAGCTCATCAGATACGGAACCTACAGATATCTTGCAATTGGTACACGCTGAATCCTAAGCCCTGGACCCTAACCCCTGTTTGTAGGAATTGCAAAGTAAGAGCAAATTCGCATAAGTATGAATGCTAAGTCGCTCAAGCCATTGCTAAATGACAAACCCCAGTTTGACATCTGCACAATGTTGTTGCTTTCGAGTAATGTGCTCATTCAACAATAATTGATTAGTGTAATTAGTTACGTTAAAAAATACTATATTCAACTTCGGTCATTCCTTCTTTGAATGCATGCGCGTAAACTAAAACCCTGGAATGTAAAAAAAAAAAAAAAAAAAAAAAAACGTTCATCCAACCCCAGTCGGAAACTTGAAACAGAGTGCCATCAAACACTGGATATATATATATATATATATATATATATATAGATACACGAAAAGAACAGTCTCCAACCAGTAAAGATTGAGGAACCTACCTGTAAATGTTTTCCCAATTGCACCTCGACTTCGGCGCCAAAAGAGAGGTTGGCCAAAGACTTGAAAGGATCTGTTGTTGGGTCAAGGGAGAGTAGATTGGGGACCTGAGGTGCTGAAACCAAGCGCCATCGTGCTTGCCCAAACTCTCCTTTTGTTTCAATTTTGGGCATGAGAGTCTCAACAGTAGCTGCCGCTAGCTTCTTAAACGCGAGCTGTCCATCTCCTTCAAGCAAAGAATCTGCTAGTTGACTTTCAAACACACGTGCAGCCTACATAACGCAAGAGATATAGGTGTTAAGACATACTGTCATCTTCAGATATAATCACTGCTATTGAGCAGCTAAAGAAATAAAGGACTAACTACATTTTCTGGCAAGCACTCGAGCTCCTTCTCCAATAGTATCATATAAAAGCCATCATACTATTGGAACTTTTGCAAAATTCATAGCAAATTATGCTCAAGTGATGGTGCCAGAAGTGACAAAAAGAACCTCAATAGGGGTAAGAGCATCCTGTTCGCCAGTGCGAATAGATGTCACAACAAGATTGTCTTGCCATTTGCTGGCCAGCCCCTGCACCTTAATCTGCCAATCTGCTCCCACTAGCGCAAGGTCAAGGCTGGGATCAAAACCTTGATCTGGTTCAAATTTAGCTCTATTTGCATGGTCCCTGTTCAGCCGAACCTGTGATAATCCAGCACTTCAATCAGGAAAAGATTCCACTATTAAAGTTTACATAGAAATAAGTAATTGGAGTCTACCATCTGAGTAAAGTGATGCATCGCTATGATTCTGAGAATGAAACATGGTACAAAAATAAAAAGGTTGAGGATCAAACCTGGGTAGCAACTAGATTAACATCTCCATTTTCAAATGTCAATGTACCCTTTGGTTTCACTCTCGTCGAGTCCGCAAAGCCATTTAGCTCCAGCTCACCATTCACCGCAAAATTAAGGATCAAAGGGTATACCATACGAAGTTCAGGGCCCAGCTGAAGCTTTAAACTTCGAAGGCGTACCGCTATAGGCGGCTGTGACTTCTGATCTTTACCTTCAATAGAGGAGAGATCGTCTGTCGAAGTACATCATCAAACAAAGTCAGTGATATTTTGAAGCTCATCTCAATATTCAGTTGAACTCGGGTTTCAAACCAAGAGAAATACAAGTCGAGGCAAATATCATCTCATTATCATGATCTCGGCCTCATCGTCCACACATTCCACAACCATCTACTGAAGAAACTCAGCACACAAATTACGTCTCACCTGATATCTTCCTAATGAGTTTATCGGGCAAAGGCAACATCTCGGCAGTTTGGTTGCGAGAAATATTTCCAGGTGCTGCCATTAGAGTATTTGCCTTGGTGAATCTGGAGTAGGTGTTAGCTCTTGATGAATCTGGAGTAGTTGCTGAAGGCGAGGAATTTGGGCCTTTCTCCATACCTTTCTCTTGTGACAGGTATGCTTCACCGTGGCTTAATTTCACTAATCCAGTGACCTCAGGTTCCAAGAGAGAACCCATCAAACGCATGTTACTATCTACTTGCCCACTGCAAACCCCACATAAGAACAGGAGGAATCGCGCTAATTCAGCATAAAATAGGAATAATAAAAATGCCAACTTCAACAGAAAACAACAGTAATCACAGAACCACGGTGGATGAGTAATGTACGAAATTCTACAGAGTGCAAATACAGTATTCTACATGCTTGATCTCCCAAAACATCAATGTATACTGCCATACATGCGCATGGTGGAATACTGTTATCTGCATGAAATAACTACATTATTGGCTAAGGGTCGTGAATTATGGCTTCAGCAATGAAATTAACATCAAAATGTGAGTTCGAAGTTGCACTAATCGCTTACCTGAAAGTGTGTCTAGCTCGCACCTCCAAACTATCAGCCTTAATTTCAATGGCTTCTCCATTGTTGATTCCTTCATTGGCTTTTATGGGTAACTGACCCCGCACTTCCAAGCGGCCACGTCTTCCAACCCGCCCTTCTAGTCCTTCCACGCATAGCTGATTGTTTTTGACACATATGCTACCGCCCAGATTGTAGAAAGGCCTTGGCAACACGGGAGAGGATACAGAGACTTTATGAAACTTTGCCACGCCATCAGCAACTGGTTGCTGTACTGTTCCCCTAATCTAATTACATCCCAACAAAGTACCATGATTATCAGAGATTCTTGCAACTGACATCCAAACAATTTGCGGTAAACGCAACAAAGAAGAGAATTTCTCTAAGGAATGTACATCATAATCGCACAATAAACGTCCATAATATTCAGCCTAACTAGACTCATTCTTAATTTCAAAAAAACATGGAGTGTTGACATGGAACTCCAGCAAGAGGAAGGTTTCAGAAACCAAGAGCACCACATCAGGTTGCATCAAAAGTGCCGCTCTCTACACAGCCTTCGATATCAAATTAACACACTCTCCTAAGTACAATATGCGCAATACTAAAATAAGAATCCACCCACGAATGAAAATATTTAAATGCCCGACAACAGCCCAAATCCAACTACGACTCTATACTCCAAGATAACTTTGATATAACGCAAAAGATACGAAGTGATGCACGGTTGATCCAAGCATCAAAACTATTAAAAATTTAGTAAAAAAATTGTTGATATCATAATGTTTACATGATATAGTTGTAAAACAGTCGGCAAACATTCAAAACAGACACGGTAGGATTTCAATCAAATAGGACTTGGTCGCCAATGGGGAAGGTTCGAGAAGGACAACACATCAGCCAGAAAGCAACAACATAACAAACACAGCTAGATTTGCAAAAACGGTGAGACAATCATGAAAAGAAGGTAGGATATTTCAGGTTGAAGGCAATTGGAGGAGGTGCAGGACATTTAGGAGAAATAATGATGTGAAATACCTGCGCAGTCACATCAGCGTAACCCTGGATCCATTGTAAATTTGGAGAGAAAGCTGTAAGCAACATCATACCCCCATCCTTAACAGCTGCATCTATCTGAACAGCACCAGAATCGACAAAATCCTTATCCAAAGGTTTTAAGCTCTCAGCCAATCTCACTTCCCATCCTTCTTCACCACCCCCACTTCTGTCCTGTACATCACTGACCACGTTGTCATCGTCTTCAACATCTCGTTCCCGGCTTCTTTCCCAACCCCGTCCCCGCGCCCTTCTATGCTTCTTCCTTTCCCTACCTTGCTCCTCGTCCAATTCCTCTCGCAATTCATCCAGGGTTTCCTCTGGACTCATAGGCAGACTTCCTCTCACGCGGACATGACCAGCATGCGTAATTGGCTCAAAGACGGCATTGAAGGCTAATCGATTTGCAGAAGTGATAGACGCTGCGACTTCAGCACGACCCAAACTGACTCCTCCAATAGCACCATCCAGAAGTCTGATTTGGACATCACACTGGGGTTTAATCATATGACCCCTCAGGTCACCCTCCATGTAGAGGGTACCCTTTAAAGATGGAGGTGAGGACACTGAAGATGATGGAAGAGGCTTCTGGGAGCTTGATTGAATAGCATGCAAAAGAGGTGGTACTAGGTTGACAGGGAAGTTTAGAACAGCGAAGTGAAGATTAGGCTTAGCGCCTAGCACAGTTCCATCGGCATGTAGAGTGGCAGTGTCTTTCTGAATGAAAAATCGCTCAAGTCGAAGACCGTCATTGTTTGTAAAGTCACCAACTGCAATGACACGTTGAGTTCTGTAGGCACCCCACTCCCAATCCTCCCCTCGGAGATCAAAGTCCGCCTGTCCCCACCACCATGAAAAAATCCTTTATGTCTGCAACGGCTTATCGCGATGCTAGTAATCTCAACTGTAGTTCCCAACTATAAATCTGAGTGTCGTCGAAATTATATACAGACCATTAAAAACAAATGAGTTTACCTATTCCACATATGAACTACACATCAAAAATAAAGGTTTAGAAAACAAACCGTAGTGTCTCCTTTGCCACCACCAGTGGCTTCAAGGGTACCTTTCCACTTTCCCTTAAGCTCCGCAAGTCCAGGCAAAGGAAGTGCTTCAGGTTCACTTTCATCCTCGGGGTCACCAGCTTTTCTGCTGCCGATATAATCCAGCAGTTCCTTTGCATTATCTGCAGAAAAACCTGCGTTTTGTACTCCTTGCAGAAATATTTCTTTTGATCTAGACACAACAGCAGGATCACTGCTCCGCGACAAAAGACGAGCAACTGGTAGCATTTCAGAAACTTCTGCTTGAGGTACTTCAAGGCGCAAGCGCCAGCGTCCCATCGAAGTGATGAATGTGCCTAATTGTCCTCCCATTGCTTTTTCCAACATCACTTCTTCGTCTCTCTCTTTCTCTCCAGCACGTTGCCCTCGTAACACATACTCTCCTTGCAGTTCATACTTACTATACGCTTGCTCAAGTACCGACTTCTCCAGCGTCACCTGTAAATAATTCCCTCACAAATACCATTAGGCCACTGTATGACTTCAAAAGCAATCCACAACTCTTATTTGGTATACGAACTTGAAACCTCTTTTCTATGAGGATAGCAAGCACAAAGAGTATTAATGAAAAGAAAGCCAAATCTGTTACCTACCACATCTCCAGACCAGCGAGCTGCCAAATCAAGAGACTCTCCTTGTAGGCCGCTAAAACGTGGTTGTTTGACATCAAGGCTCCCTCGTCCTTTCCTTCTGAGAAGATCCAAAGACATATCCGCCTGTAGTTCCAACTACTATTAAGCAAACTTACAATCCTTTAAAATGAATTGAGCAAATTCCAAAATTTTATCATCAAAGTTTAAAGTTATAGTAGAAACGACGTGACAAATATATAAAGATCTATATAATGGTCATAGCGGTAGCGGACACAGCAGACAGAAGCTGACTAAGCAATGCTTAAACTTAACCAACCCCCACCCCACTTCCTCTGATTCAGCAGTACCTTATGCACTGCACCTCGCAAAGACGCTAATTCCAACTCATCAAGTTGCAAGTTCCGAACCTACGCCAACAGATTTAGCTGCCGTTGCTTAGACTCAGGATAGAAAAAAGTACTTGTACAGTAGAACTAAGAAGCACCAAGATTACAAGACTACATTTCAAAACAGAATATAAACATCACAATGATACAAAATACTCCGAAAGTAATTAAAACTCATCAATTTCATCTGTTTAAATAGCAAGGTGCTATATTTATCGCACGACAAAAGGGGACAACCTAAGGACGAATTCATCAGTCAAATTTATAAGTAGCGCTTGCATACACAAATGATAAAATCCTTTAAATGTTTAATAGCAGCCAAAAATACACCACCAGGATTTCCAAATGCCAACATATTCATATGCAGAAAAACATGCTCTTCCAAATCGTACCTCAAGCTTTGCAGAATTCCCTGGTCGATACTGAAGATTGGTGCGGAGGTGCCCCCTTTCTAACGAAAACGACAATCCCTTCCGAGACCTTTCACCAGACGAGGGCAGCAAAAGTTGTCCATCTGTGGAGGAGTTCCGGTCTTCCTTCATGTCAAAAACTTGCACACGAAGATGCTCGTTGATCCTGCCGGAAGTATCAAGCTGCATAGATAGTTTACAATTTAGCAAACTATAACAAAGAAGGAAGTAAAAGGGAATTTGTCATAATAGAAAGTGGAAACAAGGAAGATATAAATTTCCAGCTAAAGTATATTCAACAGCTTCAGCACAAAATAGCATTAGTTTTTTAGAAGAGAAAAATTATATTTCATACTACAGATGGAAGCATACAAGCTCACACACCTAAAAACTCACCTTTAAAGCAGTAGGGGAAATGTGTAATGAACCGATAAGGTTTGGAGCAACCACAAATTGATTAAGCTTCAGTCCCGACAAAGACACGTCCCCGATCATGTTTGTGAGATTCCTCTCCAATGATAAATCAGATTGTAAGCCCTCCAGCGATGATGTCTCCTTATCAGGAACGTGGCCATCGAATTTTATCTTACCATAAACATTCATATGCATGGACTGAGGAGGAGAAAAAGCTTCACCAAAGCAAAGAGATTGAACACCCATCAGATCAAAACCATCCAGTCGCATATCAACTTCCAACCCAGTTACTGATGGCATAGTAGCTAATTTCACTTTTGGAACCCGAGGACCACAATTTCGTACTATGGGAGGGTATCTTGTATGAACTGTAGTCGTTAAATTAAAAGAAGATGCCAACGAGTGCAGAATGATGGCTTCTCGAGAAATGTGGACATCTCCGCGACCTTCATAAAAGGCACCTTGTGCCTCCGGTGTAGCCCATTTAATGTCAAAAACTCTGTCTTGCACAACAAAGATCCCACAATTTTCGAGTATGTCAAATAACAACTAGAGTTGACAGAAGAAACAATTTTAAATTACAAATATGTTGAGGTCCTAACCCAGACGAGGTAAGATTAGTAGCGCTTACAAATCCTTTGGAGAAAAGAAAAACAAAAACCAACAAAAAATCAATAAATTAATTAATTAATTAAACAACAAATAGAAGAAGAGGAAGAAGAAACGAAGGAAGAAGTAAAGAAAGAAATAGAGAATAGAGAACTTGTATCCCTTTCTGTTTACATCACTTTCGCATCAAAGAAAACAATGTGCAGATAAAGTGCTTTAGTTCCCTCAGATATCCAGCAAGACGGCAAAAAGGTCATCAGATCTTGTATGAAAATGTAGAAGGAAGGCGAGACTGTACGGCATTAGCACCGCTCCACGAATTTTAGCCTCCACCTGAGTAACTCCAAAACTAGAAGGAGGAATCTCGACACCTGATGGGGCATAAAAACTTGCTAGAGAATCCCCTGCTATGGACCCAGAGCAATCCACGTTTACAGCAGTTGAATCCATCTCACCCTGCACAACAGAAGTATAGATTGAGAACTCTCAATCAGAACTTTCCATACAAAATACAGAAATCTTTCAGAGAGCACAAAATTTCTGAGAGGGAAAAAAAAAAAAAACGGGTGGGACTTCAAACCTTGCAAAAGCCCAAAAACAAATTCAGCAACCAGGAGAAACTATAAACATTGTGAAAAAAAACTATTTGACACAACAGGAAGTAAAGTTAATTAAATTAAATTAAACCCAATGTCATCTGTCATATCCTGAGTACAATATCACTGCCCTCAGTATTCAGTCCTTCCATCATTCCTATAACAACAGTCCACGAGTTTCACTCTCTTCACTCTTTTCCATAAGAAATTTCGGCTTTTCAACCGACTTAAAAAGTTTTTTAGATGCAGAAAAAATAGCTCTCATAAAAATGGCAAGTTAGCTTCAAATTGAACACGCAAGTTTTGTAAGATGTAAGACAAGTATAACAGCAAGGATAACAAATGAGTATAGATGACGAGAAGGAACAGACACATGAACACTTCACAGCAACAGATTAAACTACAAGAATCTCCTCGATCTATTACTTGAACACACACGATTCAAACCTCTGGGCAGATCCACAGACTTCCAGCTCCACGAATCTCACCCCCACCAACCGGACATGCTTTGAGTCCATACAAATCAGCCATCTGCAGATGCACTTCCAGTGACGAATAAAAAAAACATTTTCTTATCCAGATATACTTCATAGAAACACATCAAATATGTCGGCAACCTGAAATACCCTTATAGGCGAAAATGTGAGCTCTACCCCGTTGAAGACAAGTAGACTCACCCCATTGTCGGTATTGAAAGTAAAACTTGAGGAAGCAGACACGAAGGGTACACGATCATAAGCAGCTACCGCACCCCTCTCAAGGTTTTTCCGGACTGCATCGATAGCAGCTGACGGGGGTGAATCATAAGTCAGTGTCATATTTCTGCCAGTTGTTTCAACACTGCCTTCAAAAATTGGGCTGTCCAGTGGGCCCCGACAATAGACAACACCCTTCAGAGACCCTGCCAGCTGCCATAGTCTGAGTATCAGTGAAGATGTTTGAGTTCATTCGCTTGCACTTACATAATACATTCATGCGGAAATGGTCAGCAAAAGATAATTCAACCTTCAATTTGAAAAAGTTATAAATCACAGAAACCCCAGTCGGCCAAAGAAATTACCCACTGATATTGAGGAAGGAACCTGAGAAAAGACAAGAAACTCATGATATCATCACATGTCACTTCAGCATCGAAAATGAAAAAGAATGGAAATAAACAAAACGTACAGATAAAGGAGGTGGCTGCGCACCAAGACTCCTCATTAGCGCATTTGCTTCCACCCCTGCAACCTAAAGAAATGGATGTACCCCAATTGGATATGTAAGTGAAAGACGATTATTGAGTCCTACGTCCACATATATTTTAAAAGAGTATTGAGTAAACAAGCACGAAGCAAGAAAATACAAAAATTTGAACTCCATTTGAATTATGTGAATTATAGCCTAAGCTTAAGAGAGCTGAGGCCACCAAACACAAAGAGCGGAACTACACAAGCAACAATTAATTGGCAATTCAAAAAACTTCTCAAAAATTAAGCAAAGTAAAATTCTATCATGTAAAAATAAGATCCTAGTGAACATTCATGACACTGACCAACACAAAACTACTTTACTAATTTTTAATAAGCAGTCAATGCTTCAGGGAGACCTGGCAACTGAGGCGGTACTCTCCGTCGTCCGGATTAATGTCCATATCTCCAGAAACTGTCAATGGAATGGACCCATATTTTCCAGTAGCATTGTGAAAAAATAAGCGCTGTCCTTGAAAGAAGATTGTGCCACCAACGCCCTGTAATGTAAAAATTTTGAACTGGTCAATTAGGCCAAAACACATTCAGAATTTAAACAATTGGATACAGGAAATAATACATGAATAAACAAAACGAACCGTGAAGGAGGCAGGGGCATCTGCAATACGGAAGTCAAGCCCTTTCACATCTAGCCTGCCACCAAAGTTTGGAAACGCGTCTTCCTTCTTCATCCAGATTCGTAGCTATAATAAAAAAACCATAAAGGCAGCAAGAAACACAAAAAATCAACACATCCAGGTTGAAATTTCTCTGATTGTTGAATAAGACCTAAAACCAACCATACTCTGACAAGATTGAAATCTGCTTCAGCACTAGCTTGTGAGGCTTTTGCATTCACGCATTCAAGCCTCTACATCCTTCTAGTACAAACAATTAACTTGCCATGTTACAGCAATGTCTCAGAAAGAAAAACTTCGGAAAATAAATCCACGTGACCTGCTGTAAGCGGTACTATTGCTTCGTCCTTACAAATTGTTAATTTACCTAACAAACTCTAGGCCCAATTGGTAAGACTGAACTAGCTCATCGAGCAACTAGATACATGGGCAAGATTTCATAGCAACTGAACAGGAAAACTCGTAAGTTAAGATGAGTAAGTGCAAAGTAAAACCTCTCCTGATGCCCGGCCATTTGACCACTCCAAAGGTAACTCGAGTAACCTCTCAAAGAGCTGCATCATGAAACAGCGAGTATAGGTGACAAAACTTGCAGCTGTTGGATTAAGTCATACAGATATTGTTAAAATACTATCAGGAGCAAGCTACTAAACGTGTGCATGTCCTACCGTAAACATGTGACATCATAGTAGGTGTGGCAGGCTTCTTGTATACACCTATTGAAGTCATGCCAGCACCATGATAACACAACAAAGTTTGACTAACCAACAACGAGAGCTAAACCAGATTAACGTGAGGACTTTAAGAACGAAAAACTCCAAAACCTAAAACAAATACACATAAGCAGAGGTCCTCACTGGTGCAAAAATATTGCAGCTTTTGAGTCTGACATCCCAGGACTGATTAGCCAGGTCAACAGCTACTTTCACAAGAAGCCTCCCACCATTCCCTGTCTTCCCTGTTCGCCATTCATTGGGCCTTCCTGTCACCTGCACCAGAATCTGCTGGTGGTTACCGCTCAGTTTGACAGACCCTTCAACCCTCTCCATCACCCTGCAAAGATGAAAAATGTAAAAGCGGATCAGTTCAAGTCCGGGTCAAAACTATGGTCCCGTATTGCACTTGAACCTCGCCGGAGTAAATAATCACGTTTACAGTACTTTAATCACTTCACAATTTACTGCACCTTCTTTGATATTATCAATTTATAAACTCTTGATGGAAGTGCACAGCATTGTTCCAATATAAAATCTTAGCGGCATATCAATGCCATATGCAAAATGACAGCTCCAGTGTGCTTCCAGGCACCATGCTTACCCCCAAGAACGAAAATGTGACAGACTATCACAAAAATAACGATGACAGAGTAAAACCATCATACATGGTGCTTCTCAGTTAATCATAACAACGTCGCCACTGCCAAAAATTCGCCGACTTAAAACAAATTTATAAATAAATGAGATCGGAGACGCTAAATTGTACACAAATATGAAGTTCGTGTACAGAACAATAACTTTCTAAACCGATTACCAGACCATTAAACAGAGTAAAATTTGGAAAATGCATCATAGACTCTCTAGAATGAATAATTATCAGATGACATTCCCAATGTGAAGTAAAAGAAAAACAATTACAAGAACTTCTCTTTGGGGTAATTGCAACACTTGAGTAATAAGCTAAGCATGTCGATGACGAGCAAATAGAGATAATGCAACAACGGAGGCTTCATACCTAGGTTCTTCATCACCATACCCCAACAAGGAAAGCGTTCCTTCCTTGATATACACAGAGTTTAAGGCAATTGGCGTCCATCCATTAGCTCGAGAAACATCTACCCGCCTCTTAGCTTGTCTCACAAGTCTGTTAGCGAGGCTTTTGACCTTTATTGTCAACGACATCCCATGCCCTTCATCCTTCGTTGATCCATGATCCCAAAGCTCATCAAAGGAGCTCATCCCAGTTCCTTTCAAAGTAGCAGGAGAAGTTTGGTCCGTTCTTGATGTCTGCACATTCCCACCTTGTCTGCTCTGAAATGCATGATGATTCGTCACTGATGCCACCAAGCCATCCCCAATTTCCTTAGTGTTTACAAATGATTGATTGTTCTCCATCTGAAGAATATTGGAAGAAACTTTCTCTAAATCAGATTTCATACCGCCTCCTTGTCCCTTAATTCCACTATTCCTTGCAGAAAGGAGCTTTCGCCTTTTATCTCGATCGATCTTTTCAAACATGCCGCGACAAGCTATGGCACTACGTTGGAGGTTCCAGTTTTGATATTCAGACTTTGAGAGCACGGAGCTACGCCTTTGAGACCGCATCTTTAACAGCTTCCTTCTTACGGGCTTCAGAAAATGCTTTTCAGTCCAGCTTTTCGCTCTCCAGACCTGTCTTTCAATATCTTTGGCTAATAAGGGTGCGTCAAAGTCGTCCTCGCTAAAACCTGCAATGGTGTTCCTTTTCCCCCTCCGCTCTATTCTCTGAAAACCACCTTGTTCCTGAGAGTTTAAACTCTCATCATCAACATCTGATTCGGCCTGAGCAATCTCCATATCGCCCTCAATACTCCCTAGACTTTCCTTTTCAATCACATCTTTGCTTTTTGTATTGACGGAATCCACCATACCTCCCATTCTATAACCAGATTTGCTAGCTTGGCGTGCAGCTAAATCCCTTTCCTTCATCATTTTTAACAAAGTATCTTCTCGTGCAATGCGTCTCACTTTGGTGCGATCATCAATACCAGCTTCAGAGCTATGCCTGTTGGTGGTGGGTTTTTTCTCTGATAACATAGGAATACTCAACCAAGACCAATCCCGCTTCTGAGCAACAAGCACATGAGGATTCCTTAACACAGCATCCAAGACAACTTGGCCCCTCTTGAGACTCTTTAATGGTCGGAAATGAATTTGAATTGCTGGAATTCCTCCACAGGAAAATTCCTCTGCATGAGGTCCGATAGAACTTGTACCAAGAGATACGGATAAGAAGGACAACCGTTCCACTTTCCCAAGCCTCACATCCCGACCCAAGTGCGTAGTTAAAATTGAAGCCAGGGGAGGCAGGATATTGCGGTCCATATACAGCTGAGCCCGCAATTGTGCATAGCGTGCGCTGGCTACGAGCAACAACATTGCGGCCAGCCATGATGCAGCTTTGATGAAGCGGGCTCGGAATTGATGAGCGTGCAGGCGTTGAAGCACGCTAGGAAAAGTAGACACGGTAGGGCGGTTTTGGCGCCACCAAGAGGTTCCTTGATCAAAGAGGTTAGAGGAGGCGCGTACAGGACGCACAGACGAGGGACGAGAACGGCGGATGGGGAGGGGAGAAGAGAGACGAGAAATACTAGTGCGGGAAAGAGAGGAGGAGCGGAGGGTGGAGGAGGCAGGGGAATAAGCGAGCCTGGCCAGCATCATCCCGAGAGAGGGAGGGAAGGAGAAGAGAAGAGGAGGAGGAGAAGTAGGAGGAGGAGAAGTAGGAGGAGGGGGGGGGGGGATTAAACAAGGAGGAGGGCAGATGAGGAGGAGGAGGAGGGGGAGGAAGAAGATATGATCATGGTCGTGGAGAAAGCGGGAGAAGCAGAAGCAGAAGAAGACCAAAGAATTGCCCTAGCACATGAACGAACGAGGGCGGGAAGGGAAGGGGAGGAGGAGGAGGAGGAGGCAATTGAGAAGCCCGGAAAAAGGAAATGGTGCCGCGCGTTTGTGGATTCTTCAATGGAGACGAGAAGTGAAGCTGGAGAATGACCTTGGGAATCAAGGGGTCACCACTCGCCACAGCCACAATTTTTCTCGCTCTCGCTCTCGCTCTCTCTCGTCTCTCTCTCGTCTCTGGCTCGCCCCTCGCGTCTCTCTCGCTTCTCCCGCGCTGGCGTGACTATGGCTGGCTGGCTCGCAGTGCGCGGACTCAACGCCTGGCTTACTACTACTACTTACCACTACTTACAGTCCAGTCCAGTCCCAGCTCGCCCCGGTCCTCATCGACCCCACCCCACCCACCCAACAGCAGCAGCAGCAGCAGCATGGACACGATGGCCTCCTCCTCTGTGACTCCAAGCAAGCATGCCCCCCTCAGCCCCCTCCCTCCCACGCTGCTAAGAATGGGATGGATGAAAGTTCTCTTCCGTGGATGACCTGTTGGGACAATGCATGCAACTAGTGGCTAGGGCTGTCCAAATAACCATATGGCTGCAAAGAAAGTCCCTAAACCCAGCCGAAGGGGGAGGGGAAGTGGGGATTGATGGAGTGGGTTTTGCCGGAGGAGGAGGAGGAGGGGAAATCCAGTCCAGTTGTCCGTACACACACACACACACACAAGTATATATATTCTGAAGTAGGAGAACATGAAACTAATTATCATTTATAAACAATTCTCAACATGTGTTCCACATTCTTATCAAGATTCCCCAGGAAATCAATCTAAATGTTAATTAACACACATTTAATAGTTTATTACCTCATCTGAAAAAAAATCCTTTTTATAAATCAATTCTCTGCATTTTGTATTGATAATGTTTGAATGATGTTTGAAAATAAATAAATATATAAATACCTTTTTCAATCCTATAGCATGTAACAACATTGTTTACTGTAAATTTAAACTTGAGTAGAAAAAATATTATTAATTCAATGTTTCAAAATAATATAATACTATAAACACCTTATTCCATTACATAAAAATTGTGGCTTATCTAACATCTAACACAAGTGGAAGTTTTGCATTCCCTTCTACTTATCAAAATTTTATCTTTTTCTATAATGATTTTTATTGTAGTGGAGTTCTATAAGTAATAAAACACACATTTCTTCTTTTATCCAATGTATATATGTATACATCTGCATCATTCTTTACATGATTTCATATATAATTGATTATTTTGTTTATTTTCAGAATTTATATAATACAGTAGATATTGAAAAGACAACACTAACTAACTAACTAACTAACTATATATATATATATATATATATATATATGGTGACAAATGAAATTTAGATTATTTTAGATTTGTTATATCTTAATTTATTTGCAGTACAAATATCTAAAAATATATCTAGTAAATCATATAAAAAATCAAAAAATATTAAAAACATATTTGTTATATGTAAATTTTTATCTATTAAAATAATAAATAATAGCTCAAAGTGAAACAAAATGGTACCAAGCCATGAACAAATCCTTGAAGTTAGTTAAGTTATTTTAACTTGGGGTTTAAATTTGTAGTATCAATGCATATTATAATTATAGTAAGAAGTAAAACCACTAATTAATACATCTGTATATCAAACAAAGTATAAGATGTATATCAAATATAAAAGAAAACATTTCAAAATAAATGTATTAAAGTTTCATTTGAAATAAGATTGTGTTTTAATGAATATTAAAGTTTCAAAAATGTCAAAAAATGATTATTTATTTCTTAAAATGATAACTTTTTGTTTGAGAATAGAATTAAACTGACTAAAAACAGAAAAAAGTTAGGAAAGTGTTGAATTGTGTAGCCACAGCTGGTGATTAAGAAAAGTAGACTTCCACATGATAATTTGTCTCTAGTTCTTTCACATACAATGCATGGATTAACTAATTTTTTCAAATGTATACTTTGAGAATTACTTAATATATTGGGCATGCAAAGTAGATATTGACATTGCCTTTTGGTACTAATTTTTGTGGATGCCAAAAATTGAAAAGTTACTGTATACACGTATTTTTGTTATGAGAACAATTTACTCAAAACAAATTGAATATGTTGTAAAGCACACTCAAAACACATTCCAAGCACAAAACCTATAATCTTAACAACAGCGAGCATTGTGCTGGAAGTTGTCTTTATCAGATTTACCAATCTTGAAAGTTTCAAAATTTTCGAAACTAATTTGCAGTTCAGAATTTAAATTAGTATCGAAATTTAATGTGCTATCAGATATGTTTGAATTATCATGTTCAATCACTTCAATATTATCAGTTTATTGTTGTGTTGAAATAAATTTCGAAGCATTACTACTTCTTCAAAGAATGATTCTCAAATAATGCAAAACACATTTAGATTCACAACGAGGGAAAAAATGAAAACAGAATAAAAAAATATGCAAACATGAATGACTCCACAATCATTAAGTTGACTAACCACTTTGTGGATTCACCAACAAAAACTACATATTCTATTATATTTTAGTATTTCTTTAAAGTTTTAATATTTTTCAAATCATGCATTAACAATGATACATTAGTTTGTGAGAGTGCTTCCAAATAAATGTTTTTTAAAGTACACTACTTTAATAAATGACGACTTAATTTAATTTGTTTTCACTTGAGTGAAATATAACATGAAAACGGGCTTGACATTTAGTTCTTTTTGTGATGTTTCTCAATATGAAAACTTATAGGAATCTATGCACTATTACACTATTCAAAAGTTTTCAATATTATTTATTTCACATCTGAAATTCAGTAGCCCCAATTCAAAACAAAATCGTTTAACTAAACATTTATCATTGATAAAGATTTGGACCTTGGATGTTTCTTAATTCAAACCCCAGAAATATAATCAGGATTTAACGTTAGAAAGATTTACACAATCTTCTAAAGGCTTAAGGAAAATCTTTTAACGTTAAGCAATTATATTCTCATTTCAAATTTGTCTTTCACTGCAGAGTTTAGAATCAATATGCGAGTTCTAAACTTTGTATTGAAATACGAAAAACCCTAGCACATCCAGATTTTTTGCATCTTATTTTAAAAAAATGTCAGTCTTGTTAGGGTTCAAACAGTCGAACTCTAAAAAGAGAAGATGGACAATTATGTTCCGTGTTTCCAACTACTATTTTCGGTTACACATATTCATTGTGGTGCGAGAATAAATAGGAATATAAGAAGATTGTAACCACGTAAACAAACAAGTAATGAGCAAGAAAGCATTTGAGTCAAACATGAATATATTTCATGCAAACACATTTATAATAAACGTGGACTGCCCGCCAAACTGAAACCTACACTTGGCATGGCTAGGCTTTGTGATTGAATATCACACTTCTCGCCAAGTGGAGATTCAACCAGGCACTCCAAGCTCGCACCAAATGAAGGTGGGTGAAAAATGTATCGGTCCTCTGACTCTTACACATTACTTTTTTCTGCTTGAGTCACCCATGATTATATTAGGGAGTAGAAAACCACGTTTAGGATAAAATATTACAAAAATAGCACAACGAATGCTGCATAGGCTGTGAACAACTTCCATCTGCTAAGAGCTCGGAGGATGTTCTCCCTGACCAAATACCAGAGACCCAGGAATGTTACTTCTTAAAGTCCAAGTCAGAATGACAATGTAAGCTCCTGAGAAACATCCCCGAACATTTGATCACAGAGTGAAAAGTGTTGACTAGAAATGCCATCTGGCACAATCAGAAACCGCCCCTACACATCTTCTTGTCCCTCTCCGAATGCCCCTAATAGCTTCATGTCCTCTAAGAATGCAGAATAAGTGTCATCTATGGTTGTCGGCTTAACCACACGAGGAGGTTGCAGAACAGAGGCAACTTGAGCAGATATTGCTGAAACAGTCTTAGGCTTTACTTTGGGAGCATTCTCTCTTCGAACACGGACTGACGCTGGTACCTGCTCCACAGCAGACAGCCACAGAAACATCATTTATGAGTGTCTAAAATCCCACTTGAGGTGTTAAGATATTGAAAACAAAAGATTTCAAATTCACCATTGTATGAAGAACTGCTAAATGCTATCTAAATAACTTTTCTAAAAGTGAGCATTCAGCAGAAGTATGGAAATTTGGGGAGATGGAGAAATTCAACGATTCCTTAATCTAAGTAATGGAAAGAAACCATGTGAATTTAGAGGAGAGGACCTACCATAGAGGTCAGTTCAGGAGTATGCTGAGCTAGAGGTCTTTTAACAACCGTAGGTGCGGCGGATTTCACATACGAAGGCTTTGCAGCCCCACCGGATCTAACCGGATCTTCGTTACCTCCCTCATGAACTACCCTAGGAGGAGGGGGAGGGGGAGGAGTGCCTTTAACCATCGGAGGAGGTCCAGCAGGAGGGCGCATAACAGGGGGTGGGCCGGACGGAGGCGGACCAAGTCTCACTGGAGGAGGGCCCGGAGGTGGTCCAGGGGGAGGTAACATTCCTGATTGCAACATCCTCGGTGGGGGAGGTGGAAGAGGCAAGGATGACATTTCTGGGGGTAGTGGAGGTCCAGGTAGAGTAGGTCGAAAAGGAGTCACACCAGGAGGAGGAGCTTCTGAAGAAGATGGGTGTTTTGGAGGAGGACCAGAAGGGGGCCGCATCAATAGAGAAGTGGGAAGAGGCGGAGGAGGGCCAACAGGCGGACGCATTGGAGGGGGAGGTGGTGGTGGTAGGTTTTGTCGAACAGCATCAGTGCTCCTAGAATCAGCTGGCGCGTCGTCCTCTATTTCGTCCTGAATTTCCTCCCCAGAAGGTATGGAAGGGCGCCGCGGAGGTGGTGGAGGTGGTGGCAATCTTCCAGGGGGCTACAAAAAAGTCGAAATAGCACCTTCAGTTATGAGAAACGCCACGGATGAATATTGTCCAAATTACGTGCATCAGGTGTGGAGAGAAGACAAAGAGAGGAAAGAAAAGAAAAGAAGAGAAAAAGAAACCAGAAGGAGAAAGAATTCATGGCAGAATCATGAATGAGCCAAGAATATAAACATACAAATAAAGACCAAGCGAAAGTTAAAAATCCGAAACTATCTTGAAAATTTGAAAGACTTCAGGAACTTACAATGAAATACATTGTTCTATGTCGTGAGTTGTCTCCAAGGTCAACATTCTCCGATTTTGCAATAGACGCTTCTTCGTCAGTTCCCGGAGGTACCTCTTCCCTGGATATGCCAGGAGGAAGCGGTTGTCCAGGACGAGGTGGCGGTGGAGGTGGTATCATTGAAGTTGCATGAGGAGGTCGACCTAGAAACAAAGGAGGAGGTGGTGGCAGCGTGCCTTGAACAGGACCTGGAGGAGCTGGTGGTGGAGGAGGTACAGGCACTGGTAATGGCAATGGGACTACATTTTCTCCAGCCGAGAAACCTTCTCCAGCAGAAGGTAGTGGAGGAGGCGGTGGAGGAGGGGGAAGGGGTAGGGTTGTGTCTGGGTCCATGTCCAGGTCCGTTTCACCACTAGGACCTGCAGTACTTGAAAGAGGGATTCGAGGTCCTGAAGCAATCACAATTCTATTACAACGGTAACAAAGGCGGAAAATCTCCATACTAGCAAATGTGTTCAATTAAGAGCGGTAGATAGGAATTTGGACTTGCAAAAGTGTTCAAAGCTTTCACTGTTATGGAAAATGCTTCAGATAAAGTACACCTCCTAAATTTAAAATCTTAAGTGAGAAGTAAAAAAAAAGTTCATGACGTAACTTATGAGGATATGGCAAACGACTTCAGAAGACCATGATACTTAAGTAATTCAAAAACTCATTCAAATATGGAAGATAAAGACACATGAAGCATACCTATAGATGATTTATACATGGGCGGCTTGCCAATCGGTGGAGCTCCACTGGGGTTTAATGCAGGATGAAAGTATACAGAATCCTGATGCGAGTCCCAAGAATTTCACAACACATCCATTACAAGATCATCCTAAAACTTGTACGTATTACAGATCCCAAAAAAAAACCCAAAAAACCCAAAAAACCAAAAAAACGAAAAAAGAATCAAAATTTGCAATTTCTCGTTCCGGCGTTGTTCATGTGCTCGTGCACAAGTAATACAAAGAGGCAACATCTAACTGATATAGCACTTGGAACCACAGAAACAAGCGCTGATTAAGGCCTGGAAGAAGAAATTGACAAAAGCTACATATTTGTAGAAGTCAAGAATACTTTCACAGAATTTTCTATAGTTTCCAAGTTTAAGTTAACAAATCCGTTAGGGCCTGATATATTAAATTAGAGAGAATGTTTTGAACTTAACGAAATTTGCATGAATAAGAATAGATGAAAATCGCAGATAAGATTCACTCGATAATATTAGTGCTGCGATCGTATGTAGAGAAACCAACAAAGGACATTACATACCTCAGGCTTCGGATGCTTAGCACGTTCTTCTTCTTCCGCTGTCGCTCGCCGTCTAGGGGTAGGAAGATGACTGCATTAAATCAGGGAACACAATCAAAGGCACGTCCCGTCGTGAACAACGGCGTGGACTGCAAATAGAACATATGATTTTCATCCTGTAAACCTAAGCAGGTAAGTGGAGCGGTTGAAAAAGAGCTCAGAGTGTGATGATACTCAATTTCACTGGGGTCAAAGTGTTCTTAGACGCCCTCTGCACCACTTACAATGATGCTGAACCAGTGAAGATCAAAGATGTTGCAGAGTGTGTTCACATGAATAAACAAACTAAACATCAAACGACTTAAGGCTGCAAATAACAAAGTAAACTCTCTCCAAACTCCTCAAACCTACATATGATTGAAAAAGAACAGATTTTCAGAAAGAATCCTTTGAACCTGAACATGACAGGCTCCTCTCCCTTTTCCCGCATCTTCTCTTCGTATTCCTAACGTAAGAGAACTAATAATTAGCTTTACCGCGTAGTATATTACAAGACCCAGTAAAGATGAATAGATGGCTTATTGCATCCTGGTCATGTATTTAAAGAGTAATATTTCATTTGAGGAATGTGGAGGTTGCCGGCAACAACTAAAAAGCTCGGCAGAGTACAGAAAATGGTATGAAATCGACAAATGCTAGAAGACCACGATGCAATAGAACCATCTATTCACTAGATTATTGGAAGCTAGTGGAATGCTCATTTAGAAATTAAGTATTTAAAGGATAAATGTACAGATAACGTTCACACTGGATCAAAACTAACCAGATTGATAACCTGCATCTTGCTACGCAGTCTAGTAGAACTTTAAACAAATGAAGCACACTCACACTCACGATTAACAAAGAGTAGACAATTCTGCTCGGAAAAGGGGCGACGAAATACCTTACGTTTCTTCATGACCAAGTGCAATGTGTCTTCAAGCTGTCTCTTTTTGTGCCTTCTTGTTTTGTCCAATGCCCCATCGGCCTCTGATGACATGCGCATATCGCCCCTCAGTAACAAATTAACATAGAAACCACCAGCGTCTCTGTATACTACAGTGGAGACCGTAATTCTAGAGAATTCACTGTCAAGATGAGGATAGAGAGTTCGATCAGTTCCGAAACAGGTCCTCTGAAAAAATTACAGGATAGTCTTCGGTTATCCGACAATCATAGTGTCACTGAATTTGCCTTTTAGGCTTCGTCGACAAGCCGTTATATGAAACCTGCTTGAGTAATACCTGCAACGCCGATCTAGCCTATGATGATGCGAATCATTGCAGTTCATAAAACAAATTCCTTCACTAATGCACTCAAAAAACATTGCCTGTTAAGTCCCACCTAATCAGACCAGGCTACTGCCCCTTGAATGTTGATCAAATGGCCAATGTCACAAACTCAACCATTTCCACCATCTGCCAACAGAAAGGTTCACCGATAACCAGTTTTCAAAACTGCAAGAAAATGAACCCTACATCCAGAGGGCAGTTAGTGGACGGACTCCACTATACAATAAAGCAAACTAAATGGCCAAGAGGCGAGGGGCTTCACTTAAGCATTTCAAAGCTGTTGATCTAAAAACGGAGGAAATTACGAGAAGAGATAATGTGAAGCTAACGGTAGTTGTGATATGTGACATCATTAAATAGACAGTGAAAGAAGGGATGGCAACCTCCTTAAACTGCTTGCGGCTCTTAATTGCACTACCACGGATTGTGAACAGTGATTTTCTGGGGAACATATCACAAGTCATGCAGGACTGGTCAGAGGACAAAACACATGTTGAGAGAAGCTCCTCCGATGTAGGACTCTAAGTGCATAACGTATGCACCTGCAGAGAAATTCAGTGTTTACTAAACGAAATGCAAATGCTAGGGGGAAGGGATCACACACTCATTATCTCTAATTTCTTGATTTGCTCCTTGATGGCGTCGGGATCCTTTTTGAGAATCCCCACCTCCCGCACCTTCTTTCGTTCCTTTTTGTTCTGTTCCCAGGCCACATCCAAGAGACGTAATCCAAAATGGTGAAAAACATCACAGCTGCAAGGCGTAACAGCAAAGCAAAATCCAATCGAAGAAAAAGAATCAACCAGCTAACCCTAATGATAACCAATGAAGGAAGTTACCCGCTTAAGCTCCTTTTTGCGGAGCTCCTTGCGATAGGCATCGGTAGGGTTCATGACCTTTCCCCCCTTGGTGGTCTTCATGGTGGAAGAAGTTCGACGAAGAAAGGAGGGTTAGGGCATGAGAAGAGAGGAGAGGAGGCACACAGAAGTGTAAGAGAAATAGTGATTGAGGCACAATAGAAGAAAGCCAAGAGAATAAGAGAAAGAGGAAGAGGAAGAGAAAAACAAAACAATACAAGGTCAGGGAAAAAAACAAAAGGAGAGACCCTCGACAAGAGGGGAAAAAACGAGAAAGTAGGGAAGAAACGAGGAAAGCTGGGGATCTACAAGGGAGCGAAGGAGCAGCAAAACTGGACGAGAAATCAGAACATTTCGAGGAAGTGAAGACCACTGGGTGATGATGAGGAAAGGGTGTGGCCAAATTTTGCAACGGAGGCAGCCCGCGTCACCTCACAGCTTCAACGGCAAAGACAATAATAAAAATCACGCGCGCCACTTCGGCACCACACTCCTCCCTTGTCCAAATAACTTACGACGAGGCTACGGGGCTCCTATCTCTCCCTGCCTTTCTCCTTTTTTTGCCACAACTCCCCGCACCTCCCCTTTAACTTTACCTTTTTCGTGAACTCTGCTTTCAAGGCAACGAAGTGTTCTGCTCTGTCTGGGGAAGAGCATATGTAGGAGGAACGAATGTCTCAGGCTGTTTCTCTTCTTCTGGAGTATCGCTGTGGCCTGTCTCCGTCGCTCCCATCAGCGGTTCCAGTTTGGGGACATCAAGTTGATGCCATTTGCGTCGCCCCTGCTCGCATAGGGCGTCGTGTCTGTCTTCGCCAAGCTTGCAGCTTCTCTCTGGTTTAAAGCCTTTAATCTGCTCGGTATCCTCCCCGAAGAGACGGCAGTAGTTTTGAGTGTGAAAGGTTTTGGTGTTGGCCGGGCGAGTTTGGTTTAGGCGGAGTGTGTCACCATGCCGAGGTAAGTCTTCTCGATTTTGATTAGGCCGCTCCTCACCTACACTTATTAAAGTTCAGCGTTTCTAAAAAAATTGTCTGTATTGGAGTTTGTTATATTCTTGGGCAGATGACCTAACGTGTTTTATTCGTGGGGTTCGTGTGTCATCGGAAGGCATTAGCAGTTGATGCGCAGTTTTGCGGAAACTTTTATGTCACAGGGAATAGGGAGAAATTAGGTTTAAAATTACTTAATTGTTAATATTTCATTAGTTTTCATGTTCTTGAAGAAAACGTGATATATGAAGGTGTTCATACATCACCGCTGTTGCTCCCTGCTTGAATTTCAATCGTGTGTTTGTTCTGTAAAATACCGAGGAAGAGCACAATGACTAATTATCTGGTGTATAGTTATCCCCATGGACTTCGTTTAACATGTCCAACGAGTTGACCCGGCGGCATATTATTTTTTGATTGTGCAGATACTACTGTGACTACTGCGACACGCATCTAACTCATGATTCTGTAAGCTTCCGCTTACCTTTTTAGACTGTATGTGTAATTGGTTAAGTCCATTGTGAAGGCGATGTTATTGTGAACTGTGCTCTCTTTGCGTTAAGGTGCTCTATCTATTAGTATCAATATCGTTTCTTTATCCTTGGCGTTTAACTAGACGCTTTTAGACTTCTGGTCTGGAACCTGGTTTACAGTTAGATTGACATTTTAAATGTGGACCTATCTGAAACTGTAGACAAGGACCTGGTGTTGGCTTTCCTGTGAAAAGATCTTGTCAATTTAGCTCTACCCAGCACCTACTGACCTTGAAGGGGCATCATTGAGGAAATGACGATACGCTATAATGACAACAACAACAATAATATGCAACATAGCTTTTATTAGTTATTTATACTCCGTGCACACTTTCAAAGGAAAATATGATGCATCCTTATTTTTCAGATGTAGATGAATCACGGCACGTCTGCGCAATCGACCAATCGTGAACACTTTGAATATCTTGTTACGAATGTTTGTCTGGTTTTCAACAAATTAGTTCGAGCTCTATGAGTACGTATTCATTCTGAGAATGAGCGCGCGCGTGCGTATGTGTTTTCTAGTTGTATTTTAAAAGCAAAGCTGCTTGGTTTTATTTTTTTGACTTGGTGTACGTTCGTGAATGCAGCCTTCTGTGAGAAAACAACATTGTGCAGGATATAAGCACAAGGTGAGAAACACGCTACTTTTTTCTAGCCAGTATACGTGTTTTCGGATGTAGATGACTACCAAGCCTTGAACAATTTTGCATATTGCCAGTGGCTCACCGTTGACTTTTGCTACTTACAAATTGGCTTACTGATTTCAGTAGTCCTGTACGTTCAATTTTACTGATTTTCTTTTCTTTTTTCTTTTTTCTTTTTTTCCTATTGGATTTCAGGCCAATGTTCGGCAGTACTATCAGCAATTTGAGGAGCAGCAGACGCAGAGTTTGATTGATCAGAAAGTGAAAGAACACTTGGGACAGACAGCAGCTGCATTGGCCCAGCAACAAGTTGGTGGAGCTGTTTATTCACACTTAGCTGGTATGGGAGGTGGTTACAAACCTATGGCTGCTTCAGGACTGTTACGTCCCCCGATGTTGGCCGCTGTACGGCCTCCTGTCCTGCCTCCACCATCCGGACCTGCTTCTGGTACAACTTACTGGCTGCCTGCATATTGAATTTGCATGTGATGTGTCTTGATGTTAGACATTTTTAATAATCATAATAGATATCCTTGCTTTTTCTACACGTTTTTCATGTACATGAACACGTATCTAAGGCTGTTACTTGCTCGGGGGATCATGCGTTCATTTTCCGCCTCTTTCTTGTCTTTTTTCTCGTCTGTTTTTTTCTTCTTATTCTTTTCATTTTTCTTTTGTTGGTGGGGGGAGCATGCTTCACTGAATTATATCGCTGGATATTCTAGTTTATAGTACAAGAATGTATGTATCTTCACATGGCTTATAGCAAGTTTTATAATTGTGTGTACATCAGGCTATGGAAGTGGGGCGCTACCCTCGTACAGACCTCCAGTGGTTCAGCCACCTGGCAGCGGCTCCACTCAATATTACAATGGTCCCTCACAGTTACAATATTCAACAAGTAATGGCGCATCACAGGTTAGTCCGGTCTACTTCTCGCTTCTCGATTCGCTGCTGTAAAATGCGTAACCTAGAAGAGGCATATGAACAAGTACATTTTACGTAGCGGTTAGTGTTTTAACCTGTTCAATCTGTTGAATCTGAATCGACTGCAGTATTCGGTGAACAATAGTTCAGTACCACAGTCTTACTCCTCAAGTAGCACGGGTGCTCAGTCTCAGTATGTGTCGAGTATCAACGGTGGACAGGCTCAATATCAAACAAGTAGTGGAGGTTCTCAGCAGCAGCAGTATTCCAATGGACCAACTCGGGCGCCTATTCCATCAACATACAATCCGGGGCCCGCTTATCAAAGGTAGACTGGTGTAAGTGAGATGAGAACCCTCAGTGTGGAATTGGACTGCTATGGTCTGATCAGTAGACATGCATTTGTCTTGAGGCTACTTGGATCCAATATGCTCAAAATCACATGCAGCGGATGGTATTCCACGATCTTTCTACATTGACGAGTTTTTCAAGGCGTTTCTGGCGGGAGGTTTCGGTGCAGGTAGTGATTTCTGGTAAAGATGTACTTGCATAGGCTAGAGTCAGGTAAACAGTCTTCTCGATGGACTGACAAATGCTTCATCATCTTCAAGTCTCAACTGTGTTTGCGGATGTGTTTGTAAGTGATGCCACATTCTGGTTTGAGGTATTTCTATCAAAATAGGGAGCTGGGGCAATCATACGACTTTTCATATCTTATAGATAGTTGAACAGAAGTTGGTCCAACTGAGAATGAGGTGTGGTCGAGGAGAATGGCAACAGATTCGGCACGAAGGTATCCTCGTTTGGTTTCTGTTGAACTCATTTCTGATTTCAGAATCAGCATAGCACATGTGAATGTGCCTTGCTTGATTCAGATTGTTATGTGAATCCTACACCGCATCATATGGGCGCTTTGTGAAGGTTTGTCAGTGTTATGATTAATGGATCTGGTTGAAAGGTAAGTAACGGTGTCACTTGAAATCGGCTGTGTGTAGAGTCTACTTCATGAGTCAATCGTTGTAAATTTCACATTATTATTGTCAACAACAATGACTTCAAATCTGAACCATGAATTCTGAGTTAGTTCGCACATATTACTATGTAAGTCATACCGTCGATCGTTAACTTACAATCAACACTTGGGTCTGATCAATTTTTTTTTTCCTTAGCATTATACCATACTCGTAATTAGTGTGTTCAATCTCTCGTTTCACTTCTTTGTAAGTATTTTTACTTTCATAAGTTTACACAGGTGGTCGTATCGATTCCAGGATGTTTGCGCTGTAGCATGATCTTCTTTCCTCCCCCAGGTGCAGTTTAACACGTCTTGCGATATTGTTATTTTTGGCATTTGTGATGAAATGTGTTCAAGAGAATCCTGTCGCTTATATGTCGAGTATCAAGGGTACAGAGGTTCAGTACCACAAAGGCACTGGAGGTTTTCAGCAGCCGTTTTCCATTGAATCAACTGTATGCTTGCGCCATCAACATACAACCAAGGACTGGTGTGTCAAAGATAGAATGATGCGAGCAAAATGTTAACTCTTAGCTCTTAGGTACTTCATGAATCAAAATGTCAAGATCGAAAGTTGGAGCGCGAAGTCACGTGACCTTAAGGATCTCGTAGGCTCAAGGTCTCATTACATGTTGTCAATATTGATGAATGGTCTGCATTGTGAATTATTACCTGGATATCCACGTCTTTAAGATGGTGTTTGTGCATGTGCTCGTGCATAGCATGGATTTAATAGCCATCAGAATATGCTCGCGTCTGTAATTTGCACGCCTTATTGTGGATTGGCTTTGTCTTTCCATACGACAGACGCATTGAATGTATATTACCAACTGAAATGTTCTCTTATGTGCATATCAAACAAAATCTCACTTTATGTGACTCACAAATAGAGTTAGCTTTGCTCTGGAATGTAGTATTAGCACTAGTACCAACACATGGTGCAGAATCGATATAAATGGCAATTTTCATGTCCGTGTTGGCATGATATCTCAGCACTACGCCCCGCTTGAGAGAACGGATACTTAATGACATTTTGGTTAAACGATAGAGTTTTATTAATCCTGTCAACTCATCTCACATGGAGGCTTGAAGAACTGGACACAAGGATTGGGACATTGAGAAATACACAACATTCCCTAGCTTCCATACTTAATTCTTTACTTTTTTCTTCATGAATACCATATATAGATTACCCACTTCAACTGCAATTTTAACGTAAATAATTATCAGCTTTTGGATGAAGTTACTTTCTGAATTTGGTGATTTCACCAATTCTAGCTCAAATAATTAACTGTTGCGCGAATTATTCAATTCACAGTGATCGTAACTTGTTCACTTTTCACAAAAACCTAGCATCTTTAGCACAACATAGGATGACTTCTACCACCGTGGAAAAAAAGTTAAATTATACACTGTTAACACAATAACTTTAAGATTAACTAAAGGACAACTCTGCACTTCTCATATTAGAATTCCAAACACTCAAAAAATAAATGACAGGCAAAGATCAATTGTGTACTTGTATTGTTATGATTACATGTGAACATATGATATGCAATCATGATTTTTCATGGCACCAAGAAATGAAGCTGGTTAAGAATGTGATGATTTGTACATCAACATGCAAGAAACATTTTCAAAGGGATAGCAAAATAAAAGCTTGTTCAGCTTTAAAGCTAAAATTGCATGCATAAAGTTGGGCTATGGTGAATCAAACCTACACCCGTCCACAAAAGATTAACCTAAAAGAATTGCAAAACACATTCAATTCTCCTAAAATGATCTCAAGCGACTCTAAAACCTAAATGGATTTCTGTGAATAAACACATGTAAAATAAATTTCATTTAATTTATTTTTTTTATTAAAAAAAGCATTGTTTTCATTAAGCACTAACTCTTAAATGAGCATGAAATTGGTTTTCTTACATTATGAAACATAGGGGATAATACAAAAAAAACATGCTTTTTATTTACATCCTATTGGAGTAGGGATGAAAATTATTAGTCTTGGTAAGGCAGATTTCATCAAACATTTAAAGATAATGACTTAAATATAATAACAAGTGTAACCAAATTTAAAAATAGGCATACATAATTTTTACCCTCTCATTAACATCTCCTACACAAAATGTTCTTGGAATACACATTCCTTAAGTACAATTTGTAAGATTTCTTTCATGAAAAAGAAGTTTTAGATGTATTTGAAGTATCACAATTAACAAAAATCAACTTTACAATAACATTGTCACAAACATAATTAACACTTACAGTTACCTAAATAAAAACATGAAAATAAGATAAAAATAAATAAAAGTAGATAAATAGATGCAGATTTGATTTTATACATGTATCAATGGCGGAGCGATTGAACAGGGAGGCATCTGCGACACAATTCTATGAAGGGGAGGGAGGGCGACCCCCTAGAAGGGACACCAGAGAAGGGGGACCCGGCCTCGGCCTAACCCACGGGCGTGCGTGTCCAGGATTTCCACGAGCCAGCCAGCCCCCTTTCCTTCTAAGGCCAGGCCAGTTAGCGCCGGGGGCTGAAACTGCATCAGGTTTAGGGTTTAACGCGTCTCCTCTGTTCCTATTGTCATTCTTTGCCACCGAATTGTGCTCATCAGTATCTTTTGGTTTCAGTTTGGTCGAACTATACTCAGCATGTCCCGCTCTGTGAAACAACCGATTGGGCAAAAGCGGCTAACCAACGTCGCTATTGTACGAGTTCGCAAGCATGGCCTTCGTTTCGAAATTGCGTGCTTTAAGAACAAAGTTCTATCCTGGAGATCCCATGTGTAATGTCTCTATCTCGCGCTCTCATCTGAATTTACGATCTCTACTCTAGTTCTCAAAATTGTTAAATTAGGTTTGATAAAATATTGTGGTAGATTGAATGTCGAGATGGATATTTAAGTCGGTGATCCTAGTTCTTCCTTCAATGTGGTTCTGAAATTGGATTCATTGCTCACAGAAGGTTTCTGTTTTTAGGGCGGATCCAGGCGTTGTGTGACCAAACACAATTGATTAGGATGACAAGGATGTGGCTCCTGGCTTCGCTGGATGTGACGGCACTGTGAATTTGCATCTGAGGTTCTTGTTTGTGGTCCTGTGTTGGGTGACCAGGGAGAAGGACATAGACGAAGTCTTACAGACTCATACGGTGTTCTCAAACGTGTCTAAAGGAGTTCTAGCAAAATCTAAAGATCTAATTCAAGTATTCGGCACCGACGACGAAGACAAGGTTTGCTTGGAGGTAAATAACTTGTGCCTGCATTTAAGTGATACTCTCGCTGTTAATTTGTTTTTGTTTTTTTTTTTTTTTTTTGTTTGGGATCCGAGATGTTTGCCTTGCCTCTTATGGTTTTTATTACTTGGATTGTTGGAATAAATAATTCTGAATTAGGAAATATCCTGGAATTGCTTCATCCTTGTGTGCTGTGATAAGATTGGTGGATCCATTTTAGTAGTTATACTGATGTTCGAATTTTCCTGTTAACAGATTTTAGAGAAAGGAGAATTGCAGGTGGCCGATAGAGAGAGAGAGTCACAGTTATCGAATCAATTTCGTGATATTGCAACGATTGTGATGGCTAAAACTGTGAACCCAGATACTGAGCGACCATACACTATAACAATGATTGAGAGGCTCATGCGGGAAGTTCACTTTGCTATTGATCCGCATAGAAACTCCAAACAGCAGGTATTTCGAATTCTTAGTACTTAACGTGTACTTTTTCGCAACATTAATTCAACGTCTGTAGGCAAGTTATCATCACGACATAGATGCACTGTTGGAGACTTTTTCTATGATTAACAGACTTTCCAAATATGTGAATGTTCCTATGCCTACCAAAGTAATGACAACTTCCTCGCTATCACATGACTGCTACGAAACTATTTTGTTACTGACCACGATGTCGGGATCTTGAACGAAAATTTGTGCGTGGTATGTGTTCTAAGCTTTGTTATATATGCAGGCGCTTGAATTGATAAGGGAGTTACAGAAGAAATACCCGATCACCAGGGCTCGCATGAAGCTGCGATTTGTGGTACCTATCAATCAGATTGAGTCACTTACCACAGCGCTCTCATCTTGGAACGCGCAGATCGAAGGCAAAGAAGAGACGACTACCAACACTTCTTTGGTATCAGATCTTACCTTAATGGCCTTTTCATATTTTGTGTAAATGGGCGTCTACCTTTCTGCTACATATTTTAGTTTAATTTACTTCATGCTAAATACTAGATCAGCGAATCTTTACCATTTACGCAGGCCTGCGTAAATGTTTACGTTATGGAAAGCAATTGATCAACTTAAGATCTAAATGATCTCTGCAGTGCCTGACATTTGGGGCCATGTATTCACTGCCAATTTCTCAGGTCTGCAAGATAGATCCAGGTCACTTTCGTGAGTGTGACACTCTCGTGAGGGAGTTGCAAGGTACTCTTGAGGTTGTGTCTATGGCTGTTCAAGGGGAAGGGGAAAGTAATATAGATGACTTCAATGATGATGACGAGTACAATGCAGTACACGTTTCTCATGTTGTTGAGGATGAGAATCACTTAGCTCAACGACTGAGGGACTCAGCTTCATTGTCCAAGTCATCTGGGCAAGGTAGCGGGACCACGTCCGATGCTGCTGAGGTGAGGGGAGTACGTACGAATGTCATTGCCTCCACGGCATCTGGAGGGTCCGCACCTGCCGACAGTAGCGTTAAGCAGCAAGTATGCAAGACTTGTAATAGAGAAGTGGGAGACGTTAAGCAGTATCGTGAACACTTCAAAAGCGATTGGCATAAACATAATCTGAAAAGAAAGATTACCGGCTTGCCTCCACTATCTGCGGAGGAGTGTTTAGCTGATACAGATATTGACTACGGCATTAATGATAGGGATGAATATAGTCGTTAGTTTATGTACTATGTAGATTTGTTTCGTGAGATGGACTTTGATTTTAGGCTTTATGAGCAATAGTGTTGTTTTTACCTCTCTTATGTTTAGGTTCATGTCATGTGGTATTCTACATAATTCACAATCACAGCAGAGAATCTGAAGGTTATTTTTTTGGCATAACTTATTATCCGTGCTTAAGGTTTGCTTGAATTATCTAATGAGATGCTCCAATGTTTTTGTAAATATAATTTCAGTTAAATAGAGTGGCTTGTGTAAGCACTCTTTCACTTGCTGTCTTTCTGTACCAATGAGCAGATTCAAGTGTAATAAAATGCATTTGAAAGTATAGTCTCTCTATTACTTTATTTATTGTTTATTGTTCATAACATTTTATTAATCAACTTTGCTATTGCCCATTGATCCCTTCTTGACAAGGACATAGCTATGTTAAAGTACAAATTGTTGGATGTTGACAATATGATCTTTGAATGAATTGTATTGGCTATTTGTAGGAAGACTATTAGAGAGCTTATTAGAAGCTTTTTAGAAGCGAAGTAGATTTTTTTACATGTTTTTAGATAATGGGTAGATTGAAAACTTGGCCAACAATTTAACCACATGTTGTACATATAGACAACTTGTAATACAAATTAGCCATGTGGGACACATGTAGAAAACTTGCATTACAAATTACACATGTGTCTCATAAGTTAAGTACATATTAAAGGTTCTACACAATGTTCTCATATAGCTCTTAGTTAGATAGTATATATGAAAGCAACAATGAAGTCTTCTTCACTCTTATTAATGCCTATCTTATTCTTAGTCTTATTTCAAGAATCTCTAGTCTTCTTCTCTTTGGCAATAACTATTCTAAATTTAATATTATATTATCTTTGAATGATTATCTATTCTTTTCTAACAATACATGAAGGTATTGAATTCTTTATTATTTATTATTTATGTCCTTCATAGTTTGACAAGAATATTATTTTACTATTATTATTTAATTTTAGAATTAAAAAGATTACATCATTTTTTTTGTTGTATTTTAAAGATTGCAAACTATTCACCTTTAAAACTTATATTTTTTCTTTTCTAATACTAATTCGTCTTTTAAAGAGAATGAAACATGTGTCTTTGCAAAAAAAATTATTTAAAACTAGAGCTTTCAAATTATTCTCATCTAAATTGAATTTTGGATTTATTAATGTTGTTTATTATAAAAATAAAAGATTTTTTTTAAAATACTATACTTTATAAAAGCGAATCCAAAAAGTCTTATTATTATAAGTATAAAAAAAATAAAGATTAATATATTAGAAAAGTTTGATAGAATAAGAATAAAATTTTAAAAATTTCTATAAAAAGGTAAGTTCTATTTAAGGTTACATCTCTTTTAATATCTTGATGGATTTATTTAAGTTGGCTTTATGAGTGTACTCATATTTGAAAGAACTTTCTTTCTTGGTTTGCACCACTAATAGAAGATGATTTATAATTCTTATATAATCTAAATTTATTCTTAGAAGACTATATGACCATATTTGAAGAAAGTAGTTGAAAAAAAAATAGCAAAGACAAAATTTGTATCTTTACAACAATGATCACAATCAACTACCATATATATATTGCTAAATTGTAAAACATAGCTTGCATCATAGATTTGAATGATAAACTTTTTATTAATGAGTTTTGATATGAGTGAAAAAATAATGCCAAAGACTTATTATTGACAATGCCAAAAATATATTCATTAGAATTTTTTTAATTTCTTAAGCCATTCTATGCAATAATTTATTTTTTGAATGACTGTAAAAATAAAGATTTGATAAGAGAGAAAAAAATTAAGTCATGACAAATTAAATTATTAAAACTTTTCAAAAATTTATTCATCAAAGTCGAAACTTATATAAATTGATATGTTTTTTTTAATCTTTCATTTAAAAAGAAAAGATTCAACGTTATAAAGAAGAAATGAGGTTATATTGTAGAGAATCTAAGTACACTACTTAATATTACATAAAGAAACAACTCTGCTATAAAATCAAGACCATAGTTGTCAAAAAGACAATGTACTAAAAAAATAAGTTTGTTTAATTCCAATTTGAAATAAGCAACTAGCATCTTGTGCAATAACTAATAAAAGTCACATTCTCTCATAAGATCCTTCACCTTGTTTACGATAGATGTTTGTTTAGGACTAAAAAATTTCAAAGCTTCTATCTTCTTAGATTTAAGAATCTTAGCTTGTTTCATAAATAAAAAATTTGTTGAAAAATTAAAAATATCCTTTATAAAGAAAAATAAGCCTATACATAAAATAAAATCAAAGATGGTCATTTCTTATCTTTTAGAGATATTATCTATAAAATTATTTCTTCTTATGATTGCAAAATTGATCTTTAAGAAGAATCTCAACTGCCATTTTAATTAATATATATCATATCAAAGAACAAGTTGGTTGAAATCAACAAATATATTGATAAGAACTGATCAAAAACTACATATGTCATTTGGAATCTCTAATAGGAGGTCTTATCTTATTCGTAAAGAAAAAAAATTATTACAAATATGTATGAATTATCAAAGATTCAAGAAGATCATCATTAAGAATAGATATCATCTACCTTTCATATAAACACTTTTAAATGAATTGAATTAAGTATAGATCTATATAAAAGAAATCTATGAATATCATATAATTTGGTACTCATTAAAGAAGAGGATAAATAAAAGATTATACTTTGAATCAATTGTAGGTATTTTAAATAAAATGTTATGCCTTTTGGAGTCACAAATGCATCTTCTTTTCAACTTCTTATGAATGATGTTTTTTTTAGAGTTATTAGATGATTTTTTTATTTCTTATGTAGACAATATTTTTTTATTTTTTATTTTTAAAGAACACAAAAAAAGCATGAACTTCTTGTCCATTGTGTTTTACAAAAACTTGGAAATACAAGAATTTATTACTAAGATGGAAAAGTATATAATTTACACATTTTCAGTTAATTTATTATAATATATCATTCTAAATAATAGCCATATAATGTATCATAAGAAAGATTAGACTAGCTTAGATTAGAATATTTTAAAAATTATAAGAAATGTCTATTACTTTTAAAAGTTGCCAATTATTATTGAATCTTTGTCAAGAATTTTTCTCAAGTTACAGCTCATTTACACATATGACTTGTAAAGACATATTTGAGTCGAATAAAGAAGCTAAAGTAATAGTTGAAGCTTTAAAGTTAATTTTTATTTTTGCAATAATTTTATATCATATTGACTTTTTCAAGGCATTATTTTATAGAGACAATAATATTGGATTTTGCCTTAGATGCAATATTATCATCAATAGAAGCAAATAGAAAACTTCACACAATAGTTTTTTATTCAAAAAAATATAGTTATAAAGATTAATTAGAATATCCATGATAAAAAGCTTCTTATAATTATAGATTTATTTCAATAATGATGCTATTACCTAAAAGGCGCTTCTAAACCATTGACTTTTTTTACACATCAAAAGAACCTCAAGTATTTTATGTCAATACATGTTTTTATTATTATGAAGATTGTTGAAGCACATTTTTGTTAAGGTTTAAATTCAAAATCAGGTATTGACCAAAAAAATAAGAGGATTTATTAGATAATATTTTTATTTTGTATAAAAAATAGAATATATGATCAATTACAAATTATTTCTTTGAAGCTAAAGATTTTTTTTTCTTTAAGTTATAAAATCAATATTAATTGCTGATTGAACTTTTTTCAAGTAAGTTCTTCTAAAAATCAATATTAAATCTTCTAAAAATAATTCTTCTAAATTTCATGATACTTCTAATTTTGAGTTTAAAAACATTTTTTTTTTTTTTTTTTTTTTTTTTTTTAAGAGATACTTATATATTATAAAAGATGAAGCACAATTACATGCTTTTTAAGCTTGTTACAAATTTCAAACTTGAGGATATTTTGGATACAATAAGATTTTAGAATTAATATCAAAATAGTTTTAGTAGCTTCAAATGTGGAGGGCAATTAAAGACATTATAAAATTATGTGATGTTTATTTAAGATAAAAAATTTCTTGTCATTGTCTTATAAACTTTTCTAACTACTACCTATACTTAAACAACCATAATCTTTTGTTTTTATAGATTTTTATTACAAATCCTCTAATTTAAAATTTATACAACTTTATATTCATGATAGTAGATTATTTCACCAAAATGTCATATTTTATATCATATACAACAACTATTAGAAGTAAAGAAACAACCAAACTTTTTAAACAATTTTTATTACTATTATAGATTTTTAAAGAATATTATATTAGATGAATGAATTCAATTTATATCAAGGTTTAATTTTTTTAAAATATAAAATAGGTATAAAACTATCTTTGGCTTTTCAAATTAATAAATAAAAAATATGTGAATCAAATATTAAAGTAATTCTAAGATGTATTATCAACTACCATCAAGATGATTGGACAATTTTTTTGCCATTGATAGAGTTTTCTTATAATTATTCAATCCATTTTTTATTTAAAAAATATAATTTTATATTAATTATGATTATATTCTATAATTTAATATTTTGATTTTTCATAAATTAATAATCTTGTAGTAAAAGATTTAACAAATTGATTACCAAAGCTACATATGGCAATGAAGGTACAATTAAAAAAGCTTAAGAACAACAAAAGATTAATGGAAATATCTGTTTTAAGGAACAATCTCAATTCCATAATAATAACAAGATATGATTACTCCAATATCATATTTAGACTATTGGTTTTTATAATAAATTAGATAACCATAAATTAAAACTATTTTTTATTTATGAATAAATCAATCCAAATGCATATCAATTACAATTAATAAAATCTATGAAGATCTATCTCATATTTTATATGTCATTTTTTGAGCTATACAAAATATTGAAAATATTGGAAAGAATACAAATGCAACAACCTCCTTTAAAAGTAGGCAAGTATTAAGAATTTGAGGTAGTGTCAAGGACAAGAACTTGATAAAAGTAAATAAATAAGTGAATTTTTTTCAAAGAAGTATGATAAAATTGAGATAAAAGAATATATAAATTAAAAAAAAATTAGAATGACTATTGCTAAAAGCGAAAAAAACTAAAAATTCTTGAAACTAGACTAGAAGCAAAAAAGAGTTGACAAGATTAAAGAAGGCTTCATTCTTGCCTTTATATATATTATCTACATAAGAGCTACATAGCAAT